GGAGCCGACGAAATATACGGCCCCTGTTGCTCCCCCCTTCCCCCCCGTCATCACCTCCCATCACCGCCCCTGCCAGTGATTAGCCAGCCCTCCCGGGTCCCTCCCGGGTCCCTTTGGAGGGACTCCCTCCCTCTCGCTCGCTCGCACGCCGCGCACATTCCCGTGGCGCTCGCACTCGCCGAGGAGGAGGCTGCGCCGCGGCGGCGGCGGCCTGCCTGACAAACAAGAACCTGCGGGGTCCGTCACGCCACGCCACGCCCCGCCACGCTACGCCACGCCACGCCACGCCGCGCCACGCCACGCCGCGCCACGCCACGCCGCGCCACGCCACGCCACGCCACGCCACGCCACGCCACGCCGCGCCACGCCACGCCACGCCACGCCGCGCCACGCCGCATGCAGCGACCCGGCCCGACCGCAGAGCCCGCAATTAAAATGCACAGGATACTGGAGGAAAATATCTTGTCCAGGACGACGTCGGCAGGGTGACGGGATGATTAAGCGGCCGAGGGTTTCCCCACGGAGAACTACTAGAGACGGTCTCTGGCGCGAGGCTTTTCCTTGCGGTTTCCTGGCTTTTCAGACTGTCCCTTCATGTGCGGCTGTATGTCTCGACTCGATGTTAAAAGTTTCCCGCATTGATGATGTGGTTAATTTATTTTCCATTATGGTAGGCTGTCAATCGCGGCCCCAGTTTGGATAAGCCGACTTCAGTTGATATTTATTTTAAAAATTGTTCCCAGTTTCAGAACGTTACAGCAAAAGTGCCCTTGCCCTAGTGTTAAAAAATAAAAAGCGGCCCCTTTCCAGCGGTGCTATAAGGAAATGTTCAGCAGCTTAGCGCCTCAATGAAAGAACTAGAAAACCCTTTGAAGGTAGGATTTAGCACTTATCACATTTGTTTGTCCAGTGTTCTAGAAATTTTCTGAAGGTTTAAATGAGTTTTGGATCGAGTTTTGGTAAAGGCCTGCTGACAGGTAGTGTTGGTGGTTGTTTTTTTGCCGCCCGAAAGGATCTTCCAGAGCTTCCTAACGTGAGCGCGGACAGAAGCACGCCATGGAGCAGCGATGACTGCACTCATCGTATCAGATCCTGGATCAGTGCGATAAACCTCATCCATCATGACGCAAACAAAATGTAACGCTGCACACGACACACAACAAACAATCTGAAAATTTTGATATTGGCACGAGAGGGAAAAAGAAGCGCACTCGGAAAATGAGAAAAATACGAAAAAACAAAAAACAATAATAAAAACTCGGTTTGGCAGCAAAACAATCAGTCCTTGTTTACCGAGGTTGTTCGACTGAGGAGTTGCGCCCGCCGGCCTGTGCCGCGGAGGAGAGAGGGAGAGAGGGGGAGGGAGGAGAGGAGGAGAGAGAGGGGGGGG